TATCTGAGTCACTTATGCTGAAACTGGACAGGTGAAACCAGGTAGGGCACATTTCTGAACTGCTTCACATAACTCAAGTCTACAGACATACGGAGCACACTCCTTTCAGCAGTGACTAAAAATGAGACGTCTCTCTCGTCTTCGCTGATTAAGCAGCTGTTTAGTTTGCAGATGTACCAGAAAATGAACTTCACTTCCATAACTTGCCTACGTGCTACAGTTCAAAGTTCAGAAATCGCTTCCACAAGCTATGAAGTAACAGGAAAATCTCAACGTACACTATACAAAGATTCATTACATAGTATATTTAGTATTCTTTTTCAGCTTTTCAGTTAGAAAACTCATTTAAATTTAAAAAGTATGATGAGCCGGTGACATTATGAAAATGGTTTGTTTTTTTAATAAACACAGAACAAGTTTCAATCATTTTTCCACTTTTTGAACTCGTTTGGCAAACACTCGGTTAATGTTCCACTGAACCCACTCTTGCCTGTGTGTTTTCATGCTCACAAAGCATGCATGTTTTCAGTCACTCCCATGCAAACATGGCTGAAATCTCAACTTAAAGAGCGAACCTTTAAAGGGTGCTTTGTGTGTGCGTGTGTGTGAGACTCACCTCAGTCTCTTTAGACACTCCAACACGTGGTGTTGGATGCTGTCATCTTTCTCGTAGGTCTCCAGCAAAGAGATGGCATCATCGTGATTTTGGCAGTAGAGCTTGTAAACCTCCTCCAATTCTACCTTGAAGTCCAGGAATACCTTACCTGAGAGGGAATGGTACAGAAATGCAACGTGTTCATTATAAAAAGCAAAGTGTGCAGGAAGATGTCCATTCATTAAATTTTTTTTTTTTTTTAAATACACAGAGATTTTCTGTAAAAAACATAATTCTTCTTAAAAATTGCACGCGCACATTCACAGATTACCTCCTTGATGGCAGATTGATTTTTAAGTATATTCAGAGGCTCATTCGGTCAGTAAAATTCAACTAGGTGACAGATTTGGATGAACTAAAGCAGAAAAGTACAAAGCATAACATGGAAAAGAAGGATTGCTTTTCTTAAATATCAGGCTGTTTACCTATGGAGTCAGTCTCGTGCAGTGAATTCAACAGCCGCTGTGACAGGTCAATCACTGAGCTGATGTTGCCAAAGAGCCCCTCGTAATCCACATTCTTCACCTTCGGGAAGACAGAACGTGTTAAAAAGCAAAAATTATTGTTTTTTTAAATTGAATATGGCGCCACATATCAGCTATATGCCATTATTCCTGTATGTATTTATCCATTTGTCAAATTTTCCAATGTTTCTGCACCAACTGTCCCACACACAGCTGCTTTATCTTGTATTTGCTAAACTCCCTTTTTGTCCTAACGTGACTGGAAACACAATGTTTATCATCCTTTTACCTGCTTCTGCTGCAGAGGCTCAATGATCTCCTCGACACACATTTGAAGGTCTTTGATGTAGTCCCTCTCTGTCTGCAGCAGCTCCTCGATGACCTTTGACCTCTTTTCTAGCATCCTGGTCTCTGGATCCTCAGAGCCCGTGCTGGCGCTGGGCGTCGCGGAGATGGGGGCGGACTCCAGAGTTTTAGGTTCAGACGGCAAAAGCGTCATCTCTGCAAAAACAGGAGAGCGTTCAAACATTTTACATCAGTGTTTTACGTTTTTGTCAGAATCATTTTTTTAAATCTGGAGGTGAATTTCCTCTCTAGTTTATCACTTGCAGCTCTTGTGAAGGTGACAGTAAGCAGAGTCAAGAGAAGAAGTTTCCCATCCCACGTCTCCCTTCATTTGTAACCAAACACACTCTTGCCCACCCACCCGGTCTGCCCGCTGCTCTTCGTCGCCTAGCTTTTGATCAATGTCTCCGCTATCACTCACGGAGGCCTGATCTCTTCGGGAGCCCTGAACTGGAGGGAAAGCCTTGTTTACGCGCCGCTGCTTTTTATGAATGGACATAAAACTGGAGTGGACTCGGGCCTTTTGTGTGCAGGACAATAGCTTGCAACAGCAACTACAGACACACAGGCTCTAGATGAGACAGTTAGAGAGGGGAAGAGAGGATGAAAAGATAACAGAACTGGTGGGTGATGAGAACGGGATCCATCTGTGTCACACATGTACGCTGAACCCATTGCAGGTGGAAGACACATGCAAATCCTTCAATCCCACAAAGCAAAACATAAACGTCACTGCAAGTCCAAGGTCCACTTAGAGG